GCTCACACGGGCTGACGGCGGGCGGCGGCGGCAGGGAGGGGACAGGATGGAGGCGTGCAGCTAGGTGACTCGCGCTCGCTCTCCCGGGCGCCTGCCCCAAGCCGGCCTGGCCGACACTGGAAGAATGCCTTACTGTTTTTCCACCTTGATGAATCTTCTCTGCTTGCAAAATTCTTCCTGAGAAGGACAGTAAGTTGGAGTCAAAGCTCAAACCCCAGTCTCGAAGCTCCCTCTGAACGTTATCATCTCTGTAAATTTAACACATTTATACGCCATTAAATGCAAGGAAACACAGCAAAACGGCTGCACGTGCAACGAGAGACCGACTGCAACTACAGCACACGTCACTGCTTCTCAGGACCGAAACCCCAGCAAGGCTGCCGGGAACGCAGGACAGTCTGCTCTCTCGTCACACGTTTCCCCTTGTGACACCCTTTAAAGTCCTGATGCCCAAACTATCTCCTCAAAGTAAACACGATACCATAACGAGAAGACAGCTTTGTCCCAATTTCACCTCCTAGTCTTCTTCTTCTTCTAATACAAGAATCAGAAATACCACAGGCTACCACCAGGTTCACCTCAATTATCCCTGACAGACAGTAGCCTCCCTTAGAAACAGAAAGAACACCCCCCCAAATAGCACAAATACAAATGAAAACAAACTTCTCTGTCACCCCCACAAACCCACACAAAATAAAAATGGAAACCGCCCCCCAGAGCAGCACAGATGCCTTACTTGTGGATGTAATCGATCAGCCTTCCCACTTCCCGCTGCCTCTGTTCTGGAGTTAACCTCGTATGAACAGCCAAGTCTTTCATCACATTAAAATCATTGCGCATTTTATCGGTTAGACCTTCAAGCAGAACATTGAAAGGTAAATGGTCAGAGGAACAAGCACAAGTGCCGCGAGAGCAGGGCGCGACACGCGAGAGAATCCCGAGGAGACCGAGCAGGTGCTGGGCTCGGGGGAGGGGTGCTGCGTGGCTTGACACACAGCGGGCAGATGCGCTCGAGGCTCCGGTCGGCGGTACCTGTCAGGTAGCAGAGCTCAGGAATAAGCATCGCAGGGCCAGGTAACAAGCCGCCAGGGCCTCTCCTCCTCTTAGGCTGGCTGACCAAAACCGGCTGCTTCAAGTCGGTGATTTCTTGGTTATATTGCTATTCAAGGGAAGAAAGGGATCACTGTTCAGAGTAAATGCCTTAGTAACATGTCAATGGGCAAAAAGGCTTTTAAAATGAAGAACTGATGCCAACAGCACGGCTGATATCAGTTTCCAAGTAAAGTACAAAACTTGTGTTTTTAATCCTACGTAAAACAGGCTGTGATTTATGTATTTTGCTGAGTATCTCATCTTTTTTCCTAAAAAAATTAGTCACGGATAGTAAGGCTCCGAGTCTGACTTTTAGTCAGCTCTCTTTACTGCACTTTTTGATTACGTGGTTTAGAAACAGCAGTCTGTGTGACTCCAGGCCTTCGGCTCAGAACAGCTTTGCCACAACTACTCGCGTCACAGTGAGGACTAGTTCACAAACGAGCCTCACCATCAGACAACGCAGGGAAGGGGAAGAGTGTGCGCGTGACAGGACATGTTTAATTAGGAAGTTTCCACAAGACGTTGATACTGTGAAGCTGAATTTCAATTTAGCAGTATGAAATTTCCCAGCTGAAGATTCCCCACAAGTAATCACTAAGATGAGTTTTTACAACTTATAAAGAAACAAAAATGCGAATGTTCCTGATCTAAGGGACGTTGTGAGACAGCTCCTGGGCCCCCGGCTCAGCCCTGCGGTTCGAGGCCACGGCAGACTTTACCGGCGTTATCTGCACTAGACTCTCGGGCTCCGTGCCTTAAAGATTCGCTTTCCCATCATCTCCTGTACCCTCTTCCTAGCATCTTTTAATGTCCTGATTAATTCAGCTCCAATTTCTTATTAAACAAAAATCACACATCTCCATTTAGCGTACAAGAGAGTAGTATCATCACGGCCATTTCATGCGTCTTGGTCTCTCAAGAGGCTAAGGCACTTGTCCCTTCCTCATTCCTAGCATGCGGACGAGGTTGCCACCTACTGCCGTGAAATAAGAGGCCACAAATTCTAGCCCGTCACTGACTCTGTCTTACGTTCAACTCTTCACCAAGCATCCAGGGGAAAATTATTTCAGAACAGAAAATTCCAAGTACAATGCGCACAACTGGCCCCACCCCCATGTATCCGTACTATCTATTTTATCGCACTCTTCTCCTCATTAGGGGTCTAGTACCAGCCCCCTGCTCACACACTGCTTACTTGGGTGCACACATGCAGAAACGTGGCAGTGGTTTCAGGAGGGTCCCTATTCTCCATTTCACCAAAGGGCCTTAAGTGCGTAGTTCTTAATTAAGGAGCTTTGGGATTCCACCCCGATTCTATATTCTCAGTGCCTAAGTGACAGCCTGTCAGTTCTTTTAACACTTCCCCCTAATCTGAAAAACTAGCACTTTCATTTGTTTAATATTACTCTTAAACTTTTTTTAAACTGATTGACTAATGATCTTCCCTTCCAAAGGCCCTCCTCTCCCACTGTTTCCTAGATACTATCTTCAATGCATCAGATCGAAGCCATCACTTATTACTAAAACTGCATTTCTACTAGGAAGTTCTAAGACTGCCCTGATTCTTTCATATACCCCAACGCCACCCCCTTCTGACTGATCGTAGCCACTAGACACCTTTATTCCTGGTTCCCAGAAGAAATCAGCAAAGCTGGGATGTAAGCCTCAGAACAAGAGTGGAACGCGCAGAGTGCTCTGGGCGAGGAAGTCCCGTGGCCGTAACAGGGGGCTGGGGCAAGTGGCGACACGTAGATCAGCAAGGGAGCAGGGTCACACCGCTTGGGGACTCACTGGGTAAAGAAAAATGAGCTTACTAGGCAAGTCACAGGAGCAATGGGCAGCCACTTAATTACTCTGGGTAGAACAGAAGTAGTATCAGATTTGTATGAGTTTGAAAATGTAAAGTTTAGAAGGCATGAGAAATGAAAAGTAAGAGACTAGCTGAACAAGTGAGAGAAGTGGAGCCTAGAAGGAAGATGGCAGCCACTGAGAAAGAGAAAAATGAAGGTACTTCGGGGGGGGGTGATGGGCTCTGACAGCTAACTGGACAGGTAAGGGAGAGAGGCACGGAGGTCTGAGCAATGTCTGAATTACCCATTATTCATTTGCTCATTCCAGTACCCAAGGGCCTAGCTAGGCACTGGGCTGTGTAAACTGCAAAGTCCCTGACTTGGTGGAAGTGACATTCCCTGCACTGATGAAGAGCACTGCCCCAGGGCCAGGTGAGGGGACGGCGCATGTCCAGTGCTAGTCACATGCAGGGTATCCCTGAGCCATCCAAATATTTATAACAAGTAAGTTTAGACATGTCTAGGGCTAGAGCTAGAAATGTGAGAATTGTTAACATATCATATCTGAAGTCTCAGCATAGACTGGAGAGATCACCTAGAATATATCCCAGTAACAGGGGACCTGAGGCAGAACCTTTAAGGATGTCAATGTTTACAAGGCCACTCGTGAAAGATATATTCAAAGTTCTGAATGAGAAAAAGCTGAAATCTAGGATACTTTATCCAGCAAGGCTATCCCTTAGAAGGAGAAAGAACTTCACAGACAAGCAAAAACTAGAAGAATTCATCAATTGTAAACCTATGCTGAAAGAAATACTGAAAGGTCTACTCAAAATGGAAAAGCAGCAGGATGCTATAGAAAAGAGAAAGCCATAATTGGAAAGGCGATAACCACAATGAGTTATAACAGAATAAACATGAAGACGTAAAACAGGACATTAAAATCATTAAGGGTGGGAGAGGGGAGCAAGAAACAGATTTTCTTTCTTTTTTCTTTTTTTTTTTTCTTTTTAGGATGGGCTTGAGCTTATATGACTATCAGTTTAAAGGAAACAGATATAGTAATGGGTTAATATACTTAAAAAAAGGGTAACCACAAGTCAAAAAGCACATAAGAGTCACAAAAACCAAAAAGAAACCAAGATAATAATATAAAGGAAAATTATCAAACCACAAAAAGAAAAAGAAAAAACAAAGAAAATATCAAAACAATTGGAAAACTAAGTTCAAAATAGCAATAAACACATATCTATCAATAATTACCATAAATGTCAATGGACTAAATGCTCCAATCAAAAGACAGAGCAGCAGACCAGATAATAAAATAAGAACCTACAACATGCTGCATACAAGAGACCCACTTTATAGGGAGGACACACGCAGATTGAAAGTGAGAAGATGGAAAAAGATATTCCATACAAATGGAAATGACAAGAAAGCAGAAGTAGCAATATTGATTTCAGACAAAATAGACTTTAAAATAAAGCCCATAAAGAAAGATAAAGAAGGATGCTATATAATGATTAAAGGAGCAACACAAGATGAGGATATTACACTTGTTAACATATATGAACACAATATAGGAGCACCTAAATACATAAAGCAAGTATTAACAGACATAAAGGGAGAAATTAATAGGAGCACAATCACAGGAGACTTTAACACCCCATTAACATCATTGGACAGATCTTCCAGACAAAGAGTCAATAATGCAACAGATACTAAATGACACAACAGAACAGTAGGACTTGGTTGATATTTTCAGAACATTACATCCCCCCAAAATAGAATATATGTTCTTTTCAAGTGCACATGGAACATTTTCTAGGACAGATCATGTACTCAGGCACAAGAGAAGCCTCAACTAATTTAAGATAGAAATTATTTCAAGCATCTTTTCTGACCACGATGCCATGAAACTAGAAATCAACCAGACAAAAACAAAGGAGAAAAAAAATGACAGCATGGAGATTAAACAACATGCTACTAAAAAAACCAATGAGTCAATGATGAGATCAAAGAAGAAATTAAAAAATACTTTTGAGACAAATGACAATGAAAACACAATCACACAAAATCTATGAGATGTAGCAAAAGCAGTCTGAAGAGGGAAGTTCATAACAATAGAGGCCTTTCTCAAAAAAGGACAATCTCAAATAAACAATCGAACCTACCATCTAAAAGAATTAGAAAGTTGCACCCCAATGTTCATAGCAGCACTATTCACAACAGCCAAGACATGGAAACAGCCTAAATGTCCATCAACAGACAACTGGATAAAGAAGATGTGGTATATTTATACAATGGAATACTACTCAGCCATAAAAACTGACAACATAATGCCATTTGCAGCAACATGGATGCTCCTCTAAGTGAAGTAAGTCAGAAAGAGAAAAATACCGTATGAGATTGCTCATATGTGGAACCCACAAACAAAGCATAAATATGAAACAGAAATAGACTCATAGACATAGAATACAAACTTGTGGTTGCCAAGGGGGCAGTGGGTGGGAAGGGATAGACTGGGATTTCAAAATTGTAGAATAGATAAACAAGATTATACTGTATTAGCACGGGGAAATATATACAAGCTCTTATGGTAGCTCACAGAGAAAAAAATGTGACAATGAATATATATGTTCATGTATAACTGAAAAACTGTGCTCTACACCGGAATTTGACACACTGTAAAATGATTATAAATCAATAAAAAATGTTTTAAAAAAGTGACAAAAAAAGAATTAGGTAAAGAAGAGCAAACAAAAAGTCAGCAGAAGGAAATAATAAAGATCAGGGAGAAAATAAACAGAGATTAAAAAAAAATACAAAAAAATCAATCAAACCAAGAGCTGGTTTTTTGAAAGAGTAAACAAAATTGACAAACCTCTGGCCAGGCTCACCAAGAAAAAAAAGAGAGCGAGAGCACAAATAAACAAAACAAGAAAGGAAAATGGAGAAATTACAACCAATACCACGAAAATACAAAGTATCATAAGAGAATACTATGAGCAACTGTGTGGAAACAAGCTGGACAACCTAGGAGAAATGGACAAGTTTCTGGAAACACAGAGTCAACCAAGATGGAATCAAGAAGAAACTGACCAACTGAACAAACCAATCACCAGAAATGAAATAGAATTAGCAATAAAACACCTCCAAACAAACCTGCAAACAAAAGTCCAGGACCAGATGGCTTCACTGGGGAATTGTACCAAACATACAAAGAACTCATACTGGTCCTTCTCAAAGTCTTCCAAAAGACTAAAATAAAAAG